CGGTGGGGATGAGGACCGGCTGGCTGCAGGAGAGGCATGCCGCTCCACCCTGACCCAGCTACTGCGAGACACGTAGACCGAGGCAGGGCAGATGTCCTGTGGGGGCCACTCAGTGCCGCGTAAACGCCCCATGCCCCAGCAAAGAGAGAGCGCTCTCTGGGGTGTCCACTGCCCCGCCTTTCTCTTTGGAGGCAGACGGGCGTCTGTCCCTTCTCCGGCTGCTTCCGGAAGCTCCTGCTCTGTGCTCCGACCCTCTTTACGAGGCTGTGGAGGCCATGGGAGGAGTCTAACCTCGGAGATTGCCAGGACGGGGTTTTAAAAGTAGCCCATTTAAGAAAAGAATGTGCCAGCCAGCAGGGCGGTGCAGCCCTGCCTTTCGGCCCGGGCCTGTCCCGGGGGCCACTGACCTTCAGGCTGGAGCCCTAGCACCCACCCATGCACTGGGTCCCCCAAAAAACCAAGGAAGGGTTCCCCGGCCTCTCAGGAGGGAAAGACAAAGCAAAGGGTTTTGATGACAGCTGAAAGTGTCACCCACTTGAGAGCGACTGGAGAGAAGTCTTTTTCTCAGCTTCCGAGCACAGGCCTGGCCCTGTCCAGGGGGCGTGGCCGCAGAGGGGGCGTGGCCGCGGAGGCCTTGTTTTTCTTCGTGTGTGGACGTTGGCCAGTGAAAGGACACAGCGTTGGAGTTTTTTAAATTGCTATTTTGAAAGTGAGAGGTTAATAGCCACCTCATTTATCACCCACTTGGTAAAAAATGGACCGAAGGTGCTAATTGGGGGCAATTTGTGATCAATTTCCTAGTGTTTTTGATATTACAAAAGGGCGGTTTGTCTTCAGGTAAGAAACAGAGAGCTAAGGGAGGGCAGGCAGTTACTTAATTATGACACCCCCACAGGGAGTGGGGGGGTACCACTCCACCGTCCCCACTGGGGGATGAGCTGGAAAGATCGGGGCAGCGCGGGTCACCGCCCACTGGCGCCGGGGAAGCCTCAGACCAGTTTGGCCGCCGGCAGCCACGTGTCGCCACAGAGCAGCGCGGTGTGGCCCGTGCAGCGAGACATGCTGTGTCCGCACTGCGTTCACAGACGGAACCACGGAATACTTTAAAAATATTGGTCCCACCCTGAAGTAGTCTTTTGGATACGTTGTATTAAGTATATTATTAACATTCATTTCACCCGCTGCTCACTCCTTAGTGCGCCTACTGGAACATCTCAAACTGCATCTTGCGGTTGGACAGCGCGGGCCTGGGGCGCCCGAGGGGGCAGAGGCAGGGACGGTGGCCGCTCTGGGCCCTCAGCGCACGGGTGGCGGGTGCCCGAAGGGAGGCTGGGGGCGGCGCCCGGGCACCCTAGGCTGCTTTGGCTGTACGCGTGTCCCCTTCTTGCCCCGCGTGGACATCTAACGTGTCGCCTGTCCCCGCAGCGCCTGCCACGGCCGCCGCGCGCAGGTTCGGCGAGGACACCGCGCCCACGAGCTTCCCGAGCTGCGGCCACTACCGCGAGGAGCCCGCGCTGGCCCCGGCCAAGGCCGCCCGCCAGGCCCCCCGGGAAGGGGCGCGGCTGGCGCTGGCCCGCGCGGCGCCCGAGTGCTGCGCGCCGCCGGTCCCCGAGCCCCCGGGCGCGCCGGCGCAGCTGCCCTTCGTGCTGCTCAACTACCACCGCGTGCTGGCCCGGCGCGGGCCGCTGGGGGGCGCTGCGCCCGCCCCGCCCGCCCTCGCCGGCGTCCCCGAGGCGGCGCCGGGCGCGCTGCGGCCCCGGCCCCCCGGCCCGGGCCCCGCCGCCTCCTCCCCGCCCGGCGCGCCCCTGCCGCACTACCTGGGCGCCTCGGTCATCATCACCCACGGCAGGTGACCCGGCCTGGCCGGACCGCGGCGTCCTGGGGCCGCCTGCAGGGAGAAGCCATAGGCCAGGCCTCCTGGGCTCCGGTTTCCCGACGTCCAGCCGAGTTCAGAGGGGCGAGCTGCGTAGGCACGATTTAAATTAATTTATACAGAGACTATTTTAATAGAACTCCGCAGCCGACTTTTAGATTTTTACCGCAGATGCCACAAAGGCCGGTGTGGAGGACAGTCCCGCCCCAGAGGCGGCTGCCCCAGCTTTGTTCTCCGAGGAACAGGCGCTTTCCTGCAGGGCAGAGCTGGGCGTCCCCGCCGTCCCCCGTGGGACCTCAAACTACCTGTGTTTGGGGGCGCTTGGCTTCCTCACCTCCATGTCAGGCTCGGGGCCCTGCCTTGTCCTGGACGCTCACCGGCCCCAGTGGAGGGACGAAGGAGTCTGGGCTCCGCCAACGGCCTCCACTTTTAAGGAGAGCACCCTGACTCGGGCAGATACGCAGGTGGGGGCTGGGGCCCACTCCCTGTATTCAGAGCCCTCCCCACGTCTTAGGTCCAGGAAGAAGGTGGTTCTTCCAAGTCCCCTGAACAGACAAACCTTCTGTCTTTAAAAGTCATGCGTGAGTCTCCTTAAACATTGTTTTAATTTAAGTCTTTAATACACCAATCACCAAGCTGAGACCAACGGGGCAAGCATGCTTCTTGAGTACATTCAAAAGCTCTTCCTCCTAACCAAGAATAGCACCTTCAGAATCCTGAATAAGCATTAAATGCCAAAAGTATATATAAATGTATGTGTGTGTATAGCCAGATATTTTATGAGGCGGACATGTGGACGATTTAGGTGCCCGATGCGATTGGCTACTCTTGTCAAGCCTGAGCACGAGGCGAAGTGCCCCTGGCCCACACAGACCTGCAGGTCCCCAGGCTCAAGGTCGCTGCCAGTAGTGCTGACACAGCCAAAGTGCACGTGCAATATGGGGTGTTGTCGTCCGTGGGCCGCGCTGCGTGGGAGAAAGCGTGCCCAGGGGATGTCACGAAAGTGGCGTGTACATTGTCTTCAGCAAAGCTCCACGCGAACATGTCGTCACGGGGAGACACAAATCTTTCACAAAGCACCAGCAGTGTTTTCCCAATTTTTGTTTTATTTTTATGTTTTTGCCCCAAGATTTGACCGTTTGAAAGTCGTATGTTGACTCTGAAGGGGATCAGGGCTTTGATCCCCCAACGTTCAGTTTCCTCCGCGCTGTAAACAGTCCACTTTGCCGGTTTTTCAAAAACGGTTTACTTTCAAGCAACGCCATCTTTCTGCGTGAAAAGGTTGTTCACGTGCCTCTCACTCACTGTTCTGCCATCGAAGGGCCCAACTTCGTGGACTGTCTGCAGGAACGTGACGGTCTGTCGCCAGCCCAGCATCCCTGTGAGCACCCGCGTCCTTCCCTAGCAGGTGTCCGCTGCCCTACGGTGTGAGATGAAGTCGGCCAACTTAGGAGCACCTCGGGTGCAGCCAGGAGGCCGGGTCACATGAATGACCATTCACCTCTAACTGCACTTGGCTGCCCCTCATTCGCCGCCCTTGGGGGGCGAGGTGTGCACATAAAATGAGCCTGAGGGGTTATGTCGGTGCTCACGAGTCTCATGATCGAACCGCAGTTCCCCGAAAGCGCAGGTGTGATGGACAGGAGGTATATCGGCTGACATTTTTCAATAAAGTACAGCAAAACGTTTTTGTGTCTACCTTGTTATTAACCATGGGGGGTGCCACCTTTAATAAGCACAAACCACAAAAGGCATTGGGATCGGTTTAAGCTCAAAGGTTACTGTGAAGAATGTTTATACCGATGTACAAACGGTAACATAAACAGTCTTAACAAAGAGTGTGCGTGTCCGTGAAAAGTGACACGTGTGCTAGAAGACTTCCCGTCTAGGCGAACAGCACAGCTTCCGTAGCCTAGAACGTGAAGGTTCCCAGGCAAGTTGGCTTTGGGGTGGTCAGCAGCGCAGTGCCAAGTTAAGAGCAGTTACTATGGCAACCTAACATTGTAGCGTCCATCTTGAAGAGCCTGCACGGTTAAGCTGGGGGGGGGGTGGGGTGGGGTGGTATCACATCTTGACTTCCATACGGGTCTGGCAGGGCAAGCGGAAGCGTTTTAATAAGTGTGCCCCTCGTAAAAAAGGGGAAAAAATTACAGTGTGCTCCAGCATGTTCGCAAAGATGCCAGCTCGACTGGATGTGAGAAATAAGCCCAATTCAAGACTGGCGGGGCCTCCCCGGGAGAGGAATGCCTTTATGTTCGCGGAAGCCTTTTCCAGAAAAGCCATTCCATTCATACCTCTGCAGAGGAGCGAGCAGGGTGTGAGGCCGGGGCTGCTCCGAGAGATCCGCGAGAGCCTGCCTTTTCTGCCCCGACACGCACCCCCCACACGCACCCCCCCCACCCGCCTCCTTTTAACATCCGACGGGCCGTGTCTTCCTCCCCGGGGCCTGAGGGGTAGGAGGGGTTCATGTGGTCACTGCCTCCTTTGATAGCAAGTCTATCGAAGTTGTAACTCGCTGTACAGAGAGACAGTTAGGGCAGACTGGGGGCTGCCGTGGATAAGATGGAATGAAAACGTTTTCAAACAAATGCCGGAAAATTACAGTCGCTGAAAATGTCAGTGAGTCACAGCCTCGCTCTAAAATGCGTCATTCAAGCTGTCCCTCAACTCAAGAACGGTGCGTGAGGTTAAACATCTTAAAACTGTCGGGACGGAAAAAATCAAGCAGCTTCACAAAAGGGGAAGAAAAGAATTCTACAGGAGTAAAATCCGTTCCTTAATTTGTTAAATTTATTTTTAAATTTAAAAATACATTATACTGTTATATTCAATTTACTTCTCACCTCAAATGTGTTTGCTTTTTTTTTTTTTCACTTTTGGTTTTGCTAACGTTCATTCTTTGGAATAAGGAAATTTCTCTTTTGTATGACGCATGATGCATTTGTGAAACATACACATGAAAAGAACAAAACACCGGCTCCTTAACACTTAGAAATACATTCATATTCTCTACCTTGTAAAACTATTTATTTTGTAAAAATGTTTAAATATGAATAAAAATACTGTAACCAAAAGTAGCTGCCTATTTTTAAAAATGAAACGTGGTAAAAATTACAATGAGCCCATATTGTATAGAAAGCCTTAAAGTTTATTTTGGTAGACTTGCTTTTTATAGGCATTGGCTTAATTACATTTCTGACATCATTCTTTGAAAAGTTAAAGATGCAAAGGTTGCCACTTTATTCCCGATACGCACAGTAACTGCCCAGGAGTACAGGGTCTCTGTCTCCTGTCCAGCAGCAGCACACACACACACACACACACACACACACACGACACACAGAACCGAAGCCTACAATGTGTCCTTCTGCATCCTGAATCTGCGGGGGGAGGCTGGTCCCCGCCCCCACCAACCCCCTGCCCAGTTCTCAGCCTCTGGGGTGTACGCAGCGGGCTGAGCGTGCTCTCCCCTCCCCACCCCGGGCCTGTGCGCCTGCCCCTCGCCTGCCCAGTCCTAGTGCACGTGCTGCAGCAGAAAACCCCACCGACACGATACAAACCCTTCACACGCTGCCCACGCCCTGTAAACTCAGCCAGCGCCTGGAATCCTGCAGAATTTGGGGATTCCTACCACTCCCTGCTCTGTGGGGGCCACAGGAAACCCAGCTGTGTCCGTGTCCCATTTCAGTGGCCCTTTCCCAGGAGGTGCCTGCGATCTGTTTTCAGAGGGAGCCGTCCCACCTCTTACACAACCTGTTGGGTGCTCAAGGCACGGCCTCTAGACTGGGGGGCCATTCTGCACCCTAAGAGCACACGCCAGTCCTGAGTTCAGTTGTCATGGTTTAAAGATCACAGAGGCTATGCAGTTTTCGTTGGGACTTTAAAAGGTCCCTGAGAGGAGACTCGGGGCATGGAACCGCTCCAAACCGAGGAGTGCGTGTGCGTGGGGGGCGGGAGTCCCCGACGCTGACTGCTCTAGGAGGAGGGGGATGTCAAAGGTCTTCGGTCCACCCTCGGCCACGTCGGGCGCACGGGGAAACGCAGCATCTGCCCCCGGCTCGCTGCGGCGCCCTGACGACACCGGGGCGGCGGCGGCGGGGCGCTGGGCCCGCCGCAGCTCTGTCTCCTCTGACGGCCACACCTCATTAGTTTCAGTTTGCAGAAAGGAAATGAGATGATAACACTTTCTCCCGCAGCAGAGCTGTCTGGAACGGGGCTTCAGCTGAAAGCCAAGCACGGCGTGGTTTTCATTAAATAGCCCCCCCGAAGAAATGCACAGAGGGGGGACGCCAGCGGCCGAGGGGAGGGGAGGGGAGGCTCACCTCGCGCCACCACGGAGGAGAGGCGCGCCCTGCCGCGTGCGCCTGAGACCCCCCCTCCTGGTGGTGTTCTGCAGGTGCCCCCTCAAGGGTGCGCCTGCTCTGCAGTTTCAGGGCGGTGTGGACCTTCATTCGAACGTGTGACCAACTCTAAGAGGAGACCTGGGCATGTGGGAGAGAGGGGTCTTTTTTTTTGGATGGAGGGGGGCAGGGCGTAGTAATCCTAATGGGAGCCTTAGGTAACAAAAATTACTTTTGAAGTTCCTTTTAAAGAGTTGGGTTTCCAAAAAACACAAATCGGGCTGGTGTACTTAATTCAACGTTCCTGTCCCCCCCCGCCCCCATGGGGCTGCCTGCGCCCGGCCGAAGGCGGGCTGGTTTTATTCTGGAGACCACAGGTCTCTGGAATGAGCCCGAGTGGCTGAGAGCCGGACAGAGACGGTGCTGCTTGCACAGTAAGGCGGTTTTGTTTCAAGCTGAGCGCTCCGTCAAGTTTCCTTTCCACTGATTTCAGTTGGGACTGGCAGGGAGAGAGAAAAGTGGGCAAAAATGGGCCTTTTAAGGCTGGAAAGTAGTGTGCGTAATTCCTCCAGTTCAACGGAGATAGGACTGACATGGAAACCGCCGCCCGGTGTACATCTGGAAGCAGCAAACGTGTATCAAAAGGCTTCCTTTCTTTTGTTCTTCGACGGAGACTTTTAGGATATCGGATTTTGAAGATCTTTTACAGACTGCTCTCACACTCTCTCTCTCACACACACACACACACACACACACACACACTCTGCCTCTGAAATTATGGCATTCCACATCCACAGCACTTTCTTCCTCGTCGCCATCAGAAGCAGGGGCACAGAATGATGACTCGTAAGTGACACCGCGTGCTCCCGTCTCCTGGGCGCGCCAGCCTCCCGGGGACCCTCCACATCTCCCAGCGCGCCTGCACCGGCTGAAAAGCTCCAAATCCCCCCCATCCCCCAGCGTGGGGTGAGCGAGCACGCCCCCGCCTCCAGCTGTCAGAGCCCAGTCGTCCAGCCCCACGTCCAGCACCCCCACATCCGAGCAAGCCCCCTCACCCTGCTAAGGGTCCTGAACTTGACCCCGTCACTTTAGAGTGTGCAGTAAAATTGAATTTATGAAAGGCGAGCTCGTAAATTAATGTCGAAGTGATTAACCGGTTTCCTCTGCAAGGTCACTGCGACTGTCCCTGCTGGACGCACCTCGGTGGCCGTGGCCACTGTCACTGGAGCACGAACCGCCAGGCCGAGAGGCGCTCTCGGAAGCTGGCCTTCCCCGCTCCTCAGTACCGCAGAGACAAAGGAGGACTGAGCCCTGAGCCCGGAGTCCATTCCACCGGAAACCCCCTCCCTCGGGGCCTTGTGAACAGTGGCCACACCCACCCCACCCGGCCCCCGGCCCGGAGCTGTCTTTGATTTACTTTTTAGTAGTCTCGGGGTAGAGGTCCCCACTACGGGGGAACTTCTGAATTATTCCGTGGCGGCTTCCACGTAAAAAGAAGTTTGGGGTGGGGGAGCAGCAGACACACCTCCAGGCCTGCGAGGGGGAAAAATGTCGCCCCCACTGCAGGGCTCCCCCCGAACGACAACGTTCCCACGTGTCCACCCCCCACCCAGGTCACCTTCCAACACCAAGTGCAGTGACGCCCGACAGCACAGAAGTAAAGAGCTAACAGGGTAGCTGGGGGGAGAAGAAACCTGCCTACCCGTCTGAACTAGTGTTCCAGAGCCGCGGGGGAGGCCGGGCAGGGGCCGGGCTGGAATGCCTGCCGCAGGCGTCATCGTGCCCGGGCCAGTCCCGGGCCAGCCCTGAGTCCCCGCAGCCGCCGCCCCGCCCCGCTGCCCCGCCCCGCTGCCCCAGCGCCGCCGGGCCCCGCGCTGAGCACCCCAGCCCCGGGCCCTCCTGGGGCGCGGGCACTACTGCGATTTGGGGACGATGAGGTTTCTGAGCATGTCGAAGGAGTTGCCGTCCGGATGCACGGTCACCACCTGGCCGTCCTCCCGGTCAACCTGCAGGAACCCGGAATCGTCCAGGCCCACGATCCACGCCTTCGGCCCCTCGGCGCTCCCCAGGCGGACTTGCTGGGCACTGGAAACGAAGCACAGGGGGGGTCACCGGGAGCGCACTGCAGCTGGCTGGGGCAATCACGCCACCACCCAGGACTGAGGGGACAGGGCCGCCTCGGGCGGGGGCCGGGCAAGGTCAGGTGCGTGCGTCCCTGTGAGCTGTCTGGGTGACCGGCACGCCCAGGGTGACGGCCAGGCCAACAGGGAGAGAGGAGCCGCTTCTCTCACAAACCGGTCACCGGGCTGGCCATCAGCACCACTCCCCCCACCTCCTCCTGCCCCGGGCCCTTCCCAGAAACCCTGCAGCTGGCGAGGAGTTCGGCCGAGGCTGGGGACAGGCGGCTGAGCTGAAAAGTCTCATCTTATGAAACAGAGCTGGGCAGCATCAGCTACAAGTTCAACTCCTTCTCCTTTTGAGCTTTTTTCAAATGTGCCTACTGGGTGACATCTTCAACAGTTTAAAAGTACAGACTTTCCCTCCCGCAACGTTTTTACTCTGAAGAATTCCAAACCCATAGGAAAGTTAAAAAAAACAGTACAATGAACCTCATATTCTCCCTTTACTTAAATTCACACCCACTGATCTCACACACACACACTTTATAAGGTGCAGACATCGTGACATTTATGCTTAAACCCTTTATGCTGTGTCCCCTAAGAATAAGAACAATGTCTTGCAAAACTGCAATACCACCCTCACCCATAAAAGCCCAGCCCTGATGCACTAACACCCCCTAACACACAGTGCTGACCCCCCCGCCCCCCCGCCATCCCACTCGTGCTCTTCGTGGCTGCTTCCTCCCGCCCAGGATCTAAGCACGAACCACACACACACTGTACTCCACTGCCTCGCCTCTTCAATCTCACAGAGCTCCCACCCTCTCGTTCTAGACACCGGCACTTTCGAAGGGGAGCGGGCTGCTGGCGCACACGCCGGTGCTTCCCAGATGCGAGGTGGTGTGAGCACCCCCAGAGCATTCGCCAGAGCCCCAGCTTCAGCATCTCTGACCCAGGAGGTCCAGGGTGGGACTCAGGAATCTGTACTCCCAACAAGTCCCCAGGTGAGGCCACTGCTGTCACCTGGGGAATCCCACTGGGAAAGCCATTGTTCTCTAGAATATTCTACAATTTAGATTTGTCTGTGTCCTCACAATCAGAGTCACTTACACGCGCTGGCTGGGGGAGGCCTTCCCTGGTGCATCCCACTAGGATGCGCGAGGGGCCAGCTGGTCCTGTGACCTCTGGGAGGAGCTGACTTGCTCCAGGCCGTGTCCCCAGGTCTCTCCACCGGAAAGGTGAAAGGTTAGTACCCAGACCCGTGGACACCGGGCTGTGGACACCGGAGGGGCTCTAGCGGCGTGCAGCCCAGCCCGCACTGACCTGTGCGCCCAGTATTTGTAGTACAGCGGGAGGACGGCATGGGGCCCTCCGTCCTGAAACCTGTCGATCAGCTGCTCCAGCGCGGTCACCACCCTGGCGATGAGACAGTCCGGTCTCAGGGGCTCCAGCCCCGCCCCGTGCTCCCTGTTGTACGCTGAGATGAGGTCGTTGATGCATATGGTGGGGTTGCTGTTCGTCACGTTGAACCCACAGCCTGGCCCAAAACAAAGAAGTGCACGCTGGAGCACGGGAGCAGCGTGGCTGCCGGGGGACAGCCGCGGCTTCTACCGCCAGCCTCCTCCTCCCTGTCCCCCTGTCCGTCCGCCCGTCGTGTGCGGCCGTCCCTGCCCTCTTAGAGAGAAGGGTGTTCAAAACGAACAGGCGAGCAGAACGGAACCAGAGACCCCAGAGACCCAGAGACGTGGGAAAAAGGAAGAGACAGCCCGTGACCAGAGGGGAGGGGCGGGCCAAGCCAGGGAACAAGCGTGAAGGACCCACGGACAAGGGCAGCGGGGGGAGGGGAGGACTGAGTGTGGGAGAGGGGCGGGCAGGGCAGGGGAGAGTGATGGGGGAGGGGAACAACTGCAACTGAACAATAAAAAAACTGATAAAAGATACAAAAAACAAAAGAGAATGACATATATATTCGAGCCCATCTTCCTTCTCAGCCCCCTTTATCGCCCTCCTCGAGCCAGATCCACCCGGCCCTCCTGCCGGCGGGCTGGGAACAAGAAGCCGAGAGCGGGACAGCACCCGCCGCTGCTGCCACCACGCTCGTGTGGTCTAGCCGGGACCTGTGGTCGGCACCCACGGCCTCCTGTCCCTTTCCTGCCTGAACAACAGGACAGCTGCTTGAAAAGGAAGAGTCTCATTCGGGCCCCGAGGAGCCGACTCTGGCTGCGGAGGTGCCCAGCGCTGGCTAGGGAGGGTCCAGGGCCGGCCCACGTCTTTAATACCTTATCCTCGGTGGCCTTGGGTGCCGGGCTCGCGCTGCCGGCGAGGGGCCGACCCGCGGTCACCGGCTCCTCACGGGCCCCCAGGCCGAGGCTCCGGGGAAGCGCGACCCCAGCAGCGGGGCCTGGGTGGGCTCATCTCCGCGGTCCCTCGGCACCACCGCCCTCCGCGGGGGGCCGGCTGGCCTCCGGAGCAGTGGACCCGCGTTTGCGGCGGGGCCCCGAATCCGCCTCACAGGGGTCCCCAATCAGCCGCGAGAAACAGGCAGCGAGACGATCGTGTTTTGGGGGCCTCTGGGAACCCCCCCCCCACGCTCCTCACGCGGAACAGTGCCGTCTGCAGTAACGGTGTGTTCTCCGCTAAATGTTCTGATCGCTTCCAGCGCGGAGGGACGCACTGGTCGGCCTCGGCAGGCTTGCGTTGTTTAGAAACGCACTGCCTGTAAGGACACAGAGCGATGTGGGCTGCACCTGGGAAAACCAGCCACCCCGGCGACAGGGCGGAACCCGCCGGGGCTGTGGGCTCCTTCACGCCGACCACGCGCACCAGCGGCGCCCACGGGGCGCGAGGCGGGCCGCGAAGCGCGCAGGCGCCGAAGCCGCTCCCTCGCCCGCACCGCCTCCAGCAGTCACCGACTGGGAGTGCTGGGGCCAGAGCGGCAGTGACCCTCGCCAGCGTGGGCTGGGTCCTCCCGAGGGCCAGAGAGCGGCCCTGCTGGGGACTCTGGACCTTCCCCGGTCGGAGACACGCCCCCGGCCGCGGCCTTCAGGATTTACGAAAAGCTACGGATTCTCCCCACAGAGAACGCTGCGTGTCCCCCCTCTGACCGCATTCCCTGGCCCCCCCCCCGACCCCCCCCCCCGACCTGCGGACCCTACGTAAGAATCTCTGCATCCGTAAAACACGCGAGTGAGTGAGAATCTCTGCGTCTGGCCAGTCATTCGTGTAACGATGGGAGACGGGGCTTCGCGGGCGAGAGGCGCGTGCCCGGAGCAGCGCCGCCCGCGGGCGGCGGAGCTGCAGGCGTGAGCCCGGCGGCCTCGGCCGCACGGCCGCACACAGGCGCGCGCTTCCCGCGGTCCGACCAGCAGCCTCCCCCTCGCGCCCGGGTGGCCTCCTGAAAGCAGCGCTGCAGGGGCCGCGGGGCCGCCTGTGGTTCTCGCGAGTTCGAGAGTTCTCGCGTTCCTGGGACGGACGCCCAGGAGCGGACCCGCGGGATCACGTGGTAGTCCCGGGTTCCGGGTTCCGCGGCGTCTCCGCGCCGTCTCCCGCAGCGGCGCACCCGCCCGCCTTCCCACCGGCGGCGCACGAGGGCTCCCCCTCGCCCCGTCCTCGCCAGCGCCTGCTGCCCCTCGTCTTTCCGACAGCAGCCCTTCCCGCGGGTGAGCGGCGCCGTCTCCCTGGGGGCGGTTTTCCGACTGGACGGGAGCAGGAGGGTGGAGAGGTGTGAGACAAGGCGCTGGGTGCGACGCCCGGCCGGGCGTCACGGCCGTAGCCAGGCGTGCTCGCCCCGGACGCGCCCCCAACCCAGCCGCCTGTGCTGCGCGCACACTGTCTTCGGCGACCGCACGGCCCGGAGCAAAAGTGATTGGTAGGATAAGGCCCTCCCGCACACAGCCGTGTATAAACAAACATGTTTCTTTTTATGAGTCTAAAAGTGCCGGGGAAAGCCTTTAGAAACTTACCAATAAGCATATAAAATGTTTCTCCCATAAGCGTCGAGTTGACCAGAACTCCGCCGATCTTCATGAGGTCGCTGTAATAGATGTCATTGGGCCACTTCACCCGTAAGTTGATGTCCTAAAGGAGAACCGGCATGGTAATCGGTCAAGCAATCACAGGACCCGAAGGGACCCGCTGAGGCCACCCGGCTAAAAGGAAGGCGAACCACTTCTTTGGGACGACCGGTGTTCCAGCACTACTGGGGGCCGGGGAGGGGGGCGACCTAGAGTCTCTCTGGCACCAGTCCCATCCTGCTCCCCACCCCACCACCGTTCGTCGTCATCAGAAACACTTTCTGAAGATGCCCGTCTGCTGGACCAAGTGCATCATCTCAGGGGCACCCACCGCCAAGGGGCGCCTGTCCAGGGCAGGGCCAGGGGCAGGAAGAAGACAATACTCGGGCTCCAGGGGCCCGTGCTGGCCGCCAACCGACCAGGGTCATAAAAGGCGGGCAGATCGCTGTGAGGGCTCCCAGGAGGAGCTTTCTTCACTGAGCACCAGAGAAGGCCCTGAAGAACGCCAGCACTCGACTCGGGGGACGGAAGCGGACTGTGCCCTGGCAACTCTGCCTGTGCCCCGGTCCCAGGGTGACGGAGACCCGAGAGCAGCCGACAGCCTCCCAGGGCCCTGGGGTAGACCCAGCACCGAGCCCCTTCGCAGCCCCAGTCATGTGTCACCTCTACCAAGCCCCTACGCTGGCTACAGCGTCACCCTGCCGATCAGAGGAGGAAACTGAGGCACGAAGGGACTGCGGGGCTTGCCGAGGCCACGTTGCCAGGATGCGGCAGGGCTGGGCTTCGAACCCAGGGCTCTCTGACACGGAGCCTGGGCGCTCCTTACTATTGGGTTGGCCAAAAAGTTTGCTTGTTTTTTTCTGTACGATGGCTCTAGTAGCACTTAGTCGTCTTTAACTTCATTCGAGATAGTTTTGTTAGACTGCATTGTGACAGCTGTCATGTCAGCGTGCATTTAAGAAAACCTATCAAAATTGGTGAATTTTTGTGCAGCCATTTTAATACTGAAGATAGAAAAAAATACACATTTTCAGCATATGATACTTTATTATTTCAAGAAAGGTAAAAATGCAACTGAAATGAAAAAATAAAAAAGACCTATATAGTGTATTGACAAACGTGTCAAAAGTGGTTTGTGAAGTTTTGTGCTGGAGGTGTCCCGCTGGACGATGGTCCCCGGTCGGCTGGACCAGGTGAGTGAGGTTGACAGTGGCCCAGTGGAGACGTTCACTGAGAACAATCAACATTATACCATGTGGGAGACAGCCGACATGCTTAAAATACCCAAACCGATGAAGTCACGGGTGAAAGTGAAAAACATGTCCTTCACCTCACAGAGAAAACCAGACGGCCCCTCGGCCGCCCCGACACCCTGCGGAGCCCACCGCTTCCCACTCCTTCCCTCCCCCACCCGGCCTTCCGTCCTCCCGGCGTTTAGAACACGGTTCTGTTCTGCTTGCGTCCAAGCTCGCCTGCCCTGGTAGAACATTCTAGGCCGAGAGAGGAAAGGCAGGAGCACAAAAGTGCTAATACAACGCACGGTGCTCACCACCCCCCGTAACGGAGAGGGAGCCTGCTGGTCCCTTTCTGTCCAGAGCAGGGTTCTCGGTGGAGGGGACAAGAGGCGTTCTACCCCAGGGCATGCGGGCCACCATGGGGAGGCACTTCTGAGGGTCACAGCCTGAGGGAGTCCTCCTGTCCCGTGTAGAGGCCAGACATGCTGCTCCACACCCTGCAGTGCACAGGACGGCCCCCAGCCAAGATGTGGGGCCCCGGCGTCCATGCTGACGATAGGGAAATGCTGGTCTAGAACACGTGTCCTGTGGACACCTGTTGTGGTCACTCTGGCAACCCCCCTCTCTCCCTCACTTGCGCCCCGTGACCGCTGGGCAGAGCGCAGCCCCCGCGGAAGCACAGAGCAGCCCTGCCCTCCGGGGGTGCGCCCGCTTCTACAAGGGCCCCCTCTCCGGCGCCTGGGTGAGTCCCCGAGTTCGTTCAGACTGGCTTAGGTGAGGAAGCGGCTTATGAATCGTGGGGCGGTCACACAGATGAACAGTGACATCCACTCCACGAGGAAGAGGGCTGCACGTGCTCATTGTTGAGGTCTCGACCATCTGCTCAAACGGCCGTCGAGGGGCCCGAACGACTCTGCTTAGGAGCGATCCGTGGAGACGCCACATGAGAGGCTCAGACTCGGGAAGTGCCACGGGTGTTACAGGAGGGCCAGTGCAGGGTGCGGGCGGTCAGCACCCCCCGGAGCGGGAGCACGAGTGGGGCTGGGGGCAGGGCTGCAGGAGCCTGAGGGGACCCCACAGATGGTCCGCACAGCAGCGGCACGAGGGGCTCTGGAACGGACAGCGGGCATCCCAGTGCTGCCGCCTCCTGTCCGGGGAGACGGCACAGCGTGTGCTGACAGTGACGTCTGGCTGGGGACAAATGGGGGCCACAGCGAAGGACCCGGGAAAGGCAGACTAATGACTCAGGGGGGTCCAAACCGCCCCGTACTCTGCTGTGCAAGTGAATAATGGGGTCTTGCCCAAACCAAATACGCTAATCCAAACAGAAGGCCCGTTGTCGTCCGGCGGGGGGCCGGACAACTGTGGAAACAGGGTGTGGACCCGGGTGGCAGTGTCTTGTCAGGACAGGACAACAGGGACCCCCTCCCCAGCCGTGAGCTACTGAGGGCAAGCCGCCCAGCGCCCACCCTGGGGCCCCAGCACCCAGCACTGCCTTCTCACTCGGCAGGCGCGGCATGCGCGCCAAGTCAGCAAACGAGGCTGCAAGGTCAAAATCAAAACCACGAAAAAGCTAAAGCGATCTAGGCTCAGCATTTCACTTCCTTTCCTAAGACGAATTAACCTGTCGCCAGGGTTAAAGCATCTTTTCTCCCCAGGATAGAGCCTCATCTCTTCGGCTGCTTCCTTCCAGATGGGACGCCCGTGCAGGGGCTGCAGGCGGGGCCCACGCAGCCGTGACAGTCTGGGGCGCCGAAGCCCGTCAGACACAGGGGTGCCGGGCGCTGGTGACAAATGTCCTGTTTCCGTGTGCACGCTGCAGGCTTGGCCCAGACCGTGCCCCTGCACAGTGGCTGCGAGGACATGGCTACTGCGGAGAGGACTTGGGGGCCCGAGGTGGGCTCCGCTCCTGCATGAGTCTCAGACGAGGGGCCTCCTCTGAGGCCTGACCTCAGCGTCTGCCTCAGAATCCACACGATGCACGTCTCTAGCCTGACATAAAGAAGGGCTACAAGCGGGAAGAAGGCAGGGGACACCCCCAGCCCCTCTATGGCCATAGGAAACTCCTCCCGGAAAAACGGAAAGGGGATACGGTGGGTGGAGGCCAGGCACCAGAGAAAAGGTTTTGGGTCAGGGTGTTAAGTGCTCCCTCTTCCTTGTCTCCATGGCCGACCCTGAGGCCTGACGACAGCACTGACGAAGCAGGCTCGTCCTCCCTGCCGCTGGGGGCCGACGGCCCGAAGGAACCTGCACATTGGACTCGACCCACCGCAGCCCAGGCCCGGCCCTGCTGAGTGCAGGCTGCGGCCGTGAGGGCAGGAAATGAGAAACATTTCGGGGGTCTATAAAATAAACCTTTTCACCAGAAAACACAGAGCAATAGCCCCATCCAGTCCAATGTGTTTCAATTAAAAAATAAAAAGTTGCCCTCACCTGGCTGTTTGACAAGAGGATGGCGCCGGAATCCCGGGACGAGCACACCCCCGAGGCCTGGGCAGCCGCGGCCCCGGCCCCGGCCCCGGCCCCGGCCCCAGCGGTGCTGTTGAAACTGTCACACCTGGACGCCGCTGCCAGCCTCGCGGAGGGCAAGCCAGGGCTCGGCACTCAGTGCGCGCGCAGACGCCCGCGACAGGCGCCCCAAGCCAGCGTCAGCGCGCGGAGCGGAGCACGGCGGCGGGGAGGGGAGGGGAGGGGAGGGGAGGGGGTGGCACGTACCTGGTACCCGGGGAGGGACCTGACCGCCTCCACCACCGCCAGGGACATCAGGTGCTGCACGAACGGGACCCGCTGCCCCAGCGGGGACCGCAGCGGGACTCGGACCAGCAGTGTGGACACGGCGCATCCCACGGGGCTCAGCCACGCGTTCTGTCCTCGCCCTGGAAGACAGGCCCCACCGGGAAGCCGGCCGCTGTGCCGCGGGAACGGGCTCAGGTGCCCGCCGTGCGGGGAAGTGGCCCCAAGGACTCAGAGCCACGGGCTGGAGACATGCCCCCCCGACCCCCCCGGAACAGACTGTGGCTGCTGAAGCCACCCCAGCTTCTGGATGTTCTGGGGGTCACTCAGTAACAGAGCAGCTTTTTAAAACCCGAAGCTCTGCTGCCGAACAAGCCTCTGACTCCGGGAGCACCTCGTCCGTCGTGCCTGGGCAGCTGGCAGGCTCGCCGCGTCAGGACGTCCCTCTCAGACGAGTTCTCGCCACACGGTAACTTAACGCGGGCGGAACAGAGACAGGGGTGCGGGACGGGACCGGCGCTGGTCCAGGAGAGCCCCGGGAGCCCCTCTTCTCTCTGCGTGGACGGCCGCACAGCCCTGCGCATGGGCTAGAGCCACACCACTGTGCACTTTGAATGGGAGAACGGTGTGGTGTGGGAGCCGGCTCTCCCTGTCATTTAAAAAAAAGGAAGCTGAACGGAAGTGGTGATCCCTGATATTAACTCTCTGAGTTGTTATTTCCCTTAAAACGGAAGTCAGGGTAATACAGTGATCAGAACAGGAGACACAGCTAATCAAAAGTTTTCCTTTTTTAACCACCACATTGAGTCCCATGGGTTTTGGTAAAATGAAAAATTTTTTTCTCTTTATGTTCAAAAGGAATGTTTAAGAAAGAAGCAGAGAATGGGTTCCTCACTCCTTCGCTCCTTCTGCGAAAGGCAGAAGAGCCCATCAGCTACGGCACCTGGGCTCAGCCCGGCGCCAGCCGGGGGTGGGGAGGGCCGGGGGCCGCGTGGCTCCCGCACCACCACCGACCCCGGGACCTGCTCCCGGCACAGGGACCGCTGGGAGGACGTGGGCTCCTGCCCCCGAGGGTCAGCAGGCGGCGGGCGCTCTGAGCAGCCCTCTGCCTCTCCGGGGCACCGTGCGCACGGGCACCGCTCGCGCCCCACCGCACGCACACTGCAGTGCCGGCTGGGGCAGGGCCTGGCAGATGGCAGGCCCCTCTGTGTGGCCCTCAGGAGCGACAAAGGCAGCCCCTCACAGGGAACCGGGGGGACAGTAAGTGTCTCTGTAACACAGTTACGAGTCACCAACTGCAAAGCCTACACTGTGTCAGAAAGGAAAGTTTACAAGATGTAGGTGACCCAGTGTGAAAACCACCCCAAGCGGATGTCAGGTGACTGAGCAACATCTCAGCCTCAGAGAATGCTTGAATTCTACAAAGGCTCCATCTCCGGTCCATCCCACCCCTCTTCCCCCGTCCACCCCATGGGGTGGGCGGGGCGGGTGGGGCGTGAAAGCAAAGGGCTTCCACCTGGCATCGTCCTGCGGGGATCGGCACACGCCGTCCGTCGGCTCTGGGGCCACGGGAGTCAGGTTTCAGAAAACAGACGCACCCCAAACGATAACAAAAGATGACTGACCTTTGCCCTGTGTCTGGCGGACTGCAATGGCGATTAAACCCATTTCCTGCGGCATCTCAAACATCAACCTGCAAACGGTGGGAAAGACTGGTCAGCCAGAACGGGGACTCGGGCAGGAGGCCCTTCCGCGCGGACGAGGTGGGGGCACTGTTTACACTCCTCTGGGAGCCCTCGGGTGGGAAAGGCCGCCCCCCGGCCCCCCGGGGGCTGGGCCCCACTGCCAGCCCCAGAGACAGAGGCGGGGGAGGTGCGTGCACCTGCCGAGTGGGCTGCTGCCATGTTCATCGGACATGTCATTAGGCTCCGTGTCTCCGGGACGTCCCATCGGGGTCTTTCTGATGTGGTGTCCCTCCTTCGAGTGACAACTAACAATTCCCGACATTTGTTTCCACTTACAGTGCGTTTCTGTTCGAACCCCCCGAACGTAATCATAACAGAAGTTTCTGATTATTCAGAAAACCAATATGGTGGCAATAAAGCCGTTTAAAAGATACACTGTCCCCTGAGAACTAATTATGTTTTAACTATAGTAAATAAATCTACACCTTCTGAGAACTTGGGAGAACCTTGGATCACTTGAGGGTTGAGTTCTGCCTTTAAAATGGTTTCATTTAGAGAACACAAACTTCCCTTCGGGGGACAGGCGCAACAGTGCACGGCATCCCCGCCGAACGGGGCAATGGCAACTTGTTTTCCGAAGAGGGCAGGGGGAGGACCCCCTCACGCGGAGAGCCGCCTCCCGGCCGCACCAGCTCGTGTTGGCCCCGCGTGCAGACGCTCTCCCCGCTGCACCCCCGGGGGCTGCTGGCCAGGCCCCGAGCGGCACAGCTCGGGGCAGGACTCATTAAACAAAGTGAAACCCAGGTCTGCCCATCGCCAGGGCAGCTGCGTGGGCCTCTCTGAAATACTTTCTGGGGGCAGGAAGAGGCGAGGGCGCCGAGGAGGGAGAGCTGGCGCTCTGCAGAAACACAGGCCCCCGTCACAGTTTCCAGCGACCCCGGCACCCCCGCGCCCAGGAGGATGGGCTGCACAGAAAGCCCGCACCCTGAGTGGCCAGCTCTTCGCCCTCGCCTCTGGGCGCAGGGCACAGGGCGGGGCCTCACGGACGGTGAGAGAAGAAACATGCTTCGGAGCGGAGAAAAACCACGCGGCGTCTCCGAGTGCCCTGGCTCGCAGAGCTGTGCACGGGTGTGTGCGGGCCTGGGGAGGAGGCGCCCGGAGACCCCTCCTCTTGCTGAGATGAGCTGGCCCGCTGGGCGGGGGCCAGCCGGGCCCCGGGCACGGGGCACTCCCAGCGAGCAGGCCGCCCACGCCCGCAGGCCAGGCCCCCTCGCACCGCCCATGAAATACAGCTCGGAGGTATTTCTCTTGGACACCATGAATGACCCATTGAGACCGACGGGCCGAGACACCGGCCGGCTCCGAGAAGAAAGCGTCCTTCTCTTGTGTTGCGCCGGCAGAGAGGCCTAAGAAGGAGGCTTTGTCCACGCCGGGAGGGTCCCGCGGCCCTTCACCTGGGCGAGGCCATGGGCTCCACGGGAGGGGCTCACGAGTGTCTGTGGAAGGGCACGACGTAGCGGCACGCTGGGAGCACACTGCGGAGGCCCCCCTGCGGCAGGCAGTCCAGGACGCTCGTTAAGCAGGCGGCCAGGAGACAGTCGCGTGCTGCAGGCAGCGCCACCGATGGCCGGGCCGGGGGCCGGGGGCCAGGGCGGGGGCCGTTCAGAAACTAAGCGCAGGCTTGCAGAACAAAGAGAAGTGATTAAGCGAACATATGCGTGGAGCTGCTGGAGGCTTGGCAGCAGTTAACAGGGCATATTGATGAGAAGCCTGGGCTGGTGCCGCCACCGAAGGCCGAGAGGAAACTGCAAGGAGGGAGGCGAACGGGGAAGGGGGCGCGGCTGAGCCGAGACGACCGGGGGCCGCCAGATTTATTTGTGCATCTGAGATAACTCCGGGGGCCAAACCGCACGGCCACAGCCAACAAAGCAGCGTTTGTGGGCTCCGTCCGCCGTGCATCTCCCGGGGAAGTCGCTGGAGTTCGCCTGGGCAGCGAGGAGGCACCGTAAATGCATTTCCATCCCGACTTGATGATATTCTCATAAAAGGAAATAGAAAAAGGAAAAAAAAGGAGGGGGAACATGATTACCTCCCTGCCTCTGTGTATTTTCTTTCCTCGTTGGCAAAGGCTGTGGAGTACAAGGCTTCTGTGAGTGGCAGCCAGCGCGCTCACTGTAGGACCAGCGGGGCACGCGAGGAGAGAGAGCGTCGTTTCCGTCTGAGACACCCGCAGACCCAATACGGCCCCTCTGCAGGCAGGACAGTGCCCTGGCCCCTGCGGCTCCTAAGGACATCACAGCACCTACTGGGTGCCCCGCCCATGGGAACACACTGAATACCATGTGGTCGTTGGAATACAGTTTCAATAATTAAGACTGGCCTAGAAGACGGGCCAGTATGAATCAGTGAAAATTCGGACGGAATGAAAACTTAAACTTAGACCCAGTCAATCCTCCTTGGGGACTGGAACCTACGGAAATAGTCCACACTCGCCCCAGTGCTATACAAGTAAAAATGTGCCAACAACCTAAGTGTTCAGCAGAGGGGTGGCTGTGTCAGTTATGGTACATGAAGTCAATGGGATAATTTGTAGTCATTAAAAAATCACAGTTATGAAGACTCTGTAGCAACACGGAAGAAACGCTTGCAACGGAGTGTTAAATCGAACAAGCAGCGTATGAAAACTACACACACTTTCATTCCAACTACGTAAAATCCACAGGAAAGAGAGGGAGTGAGATTTGACAAAGTCTCTTTTCTGCATGCTTAAACTTTTGTTGAACATGGTTAGTTACCTTTAAAGTGATTTTGAAAATTTTTGGGGGGGAAGCATGGTTTTTATGTTCAGATATAACATTTGTCATTAATAATTCATAAACACTTCTAAGAATAGGACAAAAGATCACTTTAAAAATAAGGAAGATGCCTGATTTTATTGTGAAGAGCTTATTTGATAGTAATCAATGAGAAGGAATTCCTAAAACCAGTCTTTCCGTGTGGAATGAGAGCGCGCCTTGTAAATGTACGCCTTCAGGCGTGGTGACTGCCCTTCTAGGACTAAAGCCCGACAAGAACAGCGGGGAGCCAAGGGGACTTGGGCACAGCCACCCCCCGCAGCACTGCGCCGTGAGGGGCCAGGAGCGACCCCGACAGCGATGGAGGAGTGGGAAAAATCCCAGCAGCCCCACGGGGAAGAGTGGGTGTCACCTGACCCTGGTGACATCGACGAAAGCTTGCTGGACACCATGAGGTGACTCGATCGGGACGCAAAAGCCCACAGGCAGCACGGCTACAAGATATTAGCTGTGGTTACTTTAAGGAGCACAATTATTTTAAAAATACAGATAAGCACAAAGCAGAAAATAAGCCATGCACAGAAGTCCTTCTTGAAAATTCACCTTCCAGAGATTACACAGAACATAAGGAAGACATTAAAATCATCATATAATCCTGGGGTCACTTTCGGGAGGTACTGCTATTGTCTCCTCTTCTTACTAAACATATATATTCTTTTAGACTTTCCCCCATCGAAACACACACACTCACATAGATATATATTACAAAATACGTTTCTGACGATGAGAAAAATCCCTCGCTTGCGGCATTAAGCCGATGCTGTCGACACACGGCTGCGGACACTCTCATCACGCTGACACCTGAAAAGGAGGCTCGCCCACAGCACCCCGGGCCGTCCGCGTGGGCCGCCACCCCTCCGCGCCCGTGCTGACACAAGACTCCGGGACACGCCCTGGCGGGGATCGGCCCCAGGGGGTGGAGGCCCAATCATGTGATGATTTCCACACCTTTCATGTTGTTCTGTGTAACCTCTGGGTGCTAACATTTCGAGCGGTTTTTATTTTTTTTTGCGCTCGCCTGGATTTCCCAATACCCCCACACTTGTGCCTTCACTTCATGACCAGGGAACACGCTGTGCCCAGGAAGTTCTGAAAACCCAGCTTCTCTTCACGCAGGTCAGGGACGCGCCCGCCTGCTCAGTGGCGGATCACCTCCTCCCTTCCCAAGAGACCCCAGTGTGACGCCACCAAGGCCACCAACTGCACCGACGCTCCTGAGACTCACCCGACAGGCCGTGCCTGTCCCTCGCCCGGGGGCCCTTGTGCGGCCCGCCTCTGGGCTGGGCGACGGCGCCGAGCGGCCGCCTGCGTCCCGTGTTCATCTGTGAGCCATATGTTCTCCGCTGCAAACGCCAGCCCGGAGGTACCAGCCCGAAAGCTGCCACAGGGAGTGCGTGCGTGAGCGAGTGTGGCTGTGTTTCAGCGAAACTGCACGGCACGAATTTCCATGGCATGCGTGCTCATGGGTGGTGACATGGTGTTTTTTAAATTACTAGACTTTACTTTTGAGCTTCAGGCTTACAGAAAAACAGCACAGAACGTACAGAGCTCCCTTCCCATATAGCTCGCCGGTCTCTCCTCGGTCTCCCTATCGTCAGCGCCTCGTACTACTGAGGCACAGCTGTTACAACGGGTGATCCCATGTTTGCTCAATACGCACACACGGAAAAGTGGGGACTCACCTTGGACCCACGTGGGCACGGGGGAGTGTGCCAGGCTTTCCCACGGTGAAGTCACTGCTTCCTCCACTGTGATTAGCACGTGTTTGCGGAAAGACAAATGTTTCTCGTGAAATTCGGTGTATGGGTTCTGCGTCTGTGGATGAGCAGTTGTGTTTTCTCGGGGAGCGCTCAGTGGTGATTTCCTGATTCTGTCACTACTTTCATATTTACTGGTTGGGATACTCCTGGGAGAGCCTTTCCTTTTCCCCCCTTATTTATCTTTTTACTCATTTATTCATATCAGAACGGACCCAGGGGTTCTTCCTCGACCGGGTGTGCGCTTGCCTATCATCATTTATTTTGAAGCTCAGCTGCCCTGGATCGGGCAAGCTGATGCTCCTCATGCTGCTGCCTGTGTCCTCCTGAGATGTTTTGGTCATCTCTCAGCACTTCCTTACTTCTGGCTTAAGAAGAGGTTCCAGGATCCTTTTG